CCCCAAACACACCCCCAGCCTGCACCCCCTCTTTCTTTTCCAGGGGCAGGCAGGAGCCAAGGGCAGGAAGGGGACTGTGGGACCACAGGGGCCCAAAGGCACCCTGGTAAGGTGCTGTCCCTCGTGGGATGGAAAAGCCGTGTCCAAGGAAGCTTTGGGAAAAGGGACGTTTGTGTAGGTCCTACAATAATTTGCTTAGGGATTTTTCTCCCCTCCCAGGGCGAGAGCGGGTGTGACCGGCGGGGTGCTCCGGGGAGGAAGGGTGCCAAGGTACCGCCAGCATGCAGCAGGGATGGGGATGGGTGGGATGAACCCACTCTCTGTCTGTGGGGCTGCCGGGGGGGGCTGTCCCAGCCCCACTCACTTGTGCTGCTTCCTCCAGGGCGCTCGGGGCCTGCTGGGGTACCCCGGGGCTCAGGTGAGTGCGTGGGGGGCCAGGAGGGGACCTGGGGACCTGGTCAGGGTTTGTGGGGTGCTGGTAAGGATGAGATCAGCTTCCTCCGTGTGTCCCCCCCAAGGGCGATGGGGGCGAGAGAGGGTCCCCGGGGGACAAGGGTGCGCGAGGGCTGCCTGGGCGCAGGGTGAGTACGGCGCAGCCCCCTCCCCGCTCCCCCCTCGCCGTGCCCACCCAACTCAGCTCCTCGGGGCTCTTCCAGGGTGACGCCGGGAGCAGAGGAGAAACGGGTGGCCGCGGCAGCATGGGACCTCCGGGAGAAATGGTGATTCTCTGCAAATTCCCTTTTTCCTGCCTCATTTCTGCCTGCGACCAGCCCTGGCGTGCAGGGACGTGTCCCGTGTTCCTCCTTCTTCATTTCTCTCCTCTCCCGCTGCTCCAGGGCCCGAAGGGCTCTCCGGGCATTCCCCCCTCCACGGTACGGTCTGGGGACTGGGACCTGGCCCTGAGGGGTGACCTCGGGGGACAGTGAGGAGCTCGGTGGCTGCCTGGCCCCAGCAAGCCTTACTGGTTTTGCTGGGAAGAGCTGGGCGGGAGAGCTGGGCCTGACTGCGCATCCCTCCAGCTGTGCGAGCTCAAGACTTTCATCCGCCGGAGCTGCGGTGAGAGCGGCGGGGCTGGCAGGGAGGGGACAGGGTCTGGCTCGGTGGAGGGGACAAGGGGACGGCTGGATGGTGACGGTGGATGGGTGGGTGCAGGTACCATGAGCACAGGATGTCCCAGGGGGGGCTTTTTCTGTGGCCCCTGAGATGCCACCACCCCCTCGCAGCCGTCACCTCGCCTTCCTGCCCGCTCTTCCCCACCGAGCTCGTTCTGGTGCTGGAAACCTCCTCCATGGTGTCGCCGGCCCTTTTCTCCCGCATGAAGGAGCTGCTGGCCCTGCTGCTTCAGGACCTGCAGGTCTCCCCGTTGGGTTGCCCGGCGGGGGCTCGGGTAGCCATGCTGGCCTACGCGGCCACCCCCACCTACCTGCTGCGTGCCGGGGAGGTGGGAAGCGGGGCCGCGCTGCTGGGACGGCTCCGCCGCCTCTCGCCCACCCGCTCCTCCCGGCGCGGCCGTTTGGCCGCTGCCATGCGCTTCGTGGGCCACCATGTGCTCAAGAGGGTCCGGCCGGCCACCCTGGGCAGGAAGGTGGTCCTCTTCGTCACCAGTGGCCGGAACCAGGACCTGGATGGCATCGGGGAGGCTGCTCTGCAGTACGAAGCCCTGGGCATTGTGCCGGCGGTGCTCACCTTCACCCCGCTGCCCGAGGTGGTGCGGGCTTTCCAGGTGAGCCTTGGGGCTAGTGGCTACTCACCTCAGTCCTCAGGTCCCCCCAGCCCTCTTCTCCCCCAGCTCTGACTCTGCCTCGTGCCCAGGTTAACGGCCTCTTCCGAGTGGTCCAGCTCTCCGCAGCGGAGCCGGCCGGGGATGCGGCAGTGCTGCGGGACACGGTGCTGCCCTGCGTCCTCTGCTTCGGTAGGCAGCCCCGGCACAGCACCAGGGATGGGGGTGTGTGTACCCCCCTGACACCCTCTCTCCCTCTCCCCAGACCTCTGCCACCCCGAGGGTTGTGTCATGCCATCCCCTGACCCGCTGGACGTGGACTTGGCCTTGGTGGTGGACAACACAGCCCCGGGGATGCCGGCAGAGAGGCTGGAGGCCGTCGGCGAGCTCTTCCACCGCCTCCTGCAGCACCTGCGGCTAGCGGGGCCCGATCCGGTGCAGCACGGCACCCGCATCGCCCTGGTGCTGACAGGCCCCTCTGCCCCAGCGCAGGGTTTGGCCGAGGTCCCTTTTGGGCCACTCAGCTCCAGGGAGCAGCTCCGGGAGCGCCTTCGCCTTGCGCTGGTGCCCAGGGCGGCCACAGCATCCCCCAGCGGCACGGTGGCATGGGCCCTCCGGCACGTTTTCCCGCAGAGCTCTGGCCGCCGGCTCCGCGTCCTCTTCGTGGTGGGGACGGGGGCCACGGCGCTGTGGGACAGGGAGGCACGGCGGGCACTGGGCCCCTTCAGCCGGTGTGAGGATTTTGGCGTCTTGGTGCTCTCCCTGGGGCGAGCCGGGACGGAGCAGCCGGAGGCGGCCGTGCCCGAGGCGCTGCCGGCCTGGCGGTACCACTCCCTGCGCCTAGGCTCAGTCCACCCACCTGAAGTGGGGTACGCGGAGAGGACGGCGCTGGGTTTCCTCAGGAGGCTGCAGGGTGAGCGGGTGGGGAGGATTTTTGGCGGGGGGGGGGGCTGCAGCATCCCTGGGTCCCATCCCTGGCTACTCCAGGAGCAGGCGGCTGTCACTCCCCAAAACTCCTCGCCCGTGTCTCCGCTATCGCTTCTGCCCCACAGTGGAGAGCAGCCAGCGCCCCAGCACACTGGGGTGCCCCCAGGACCTGCCCCCCCGGGGCACCACCACCAACAAAACCCCCCTGGGGACCCCGCAGTGAGTGAGCGGCACCGGGACCATCCCCTGCCTGCGCATCCCTCAGTCCCCTGCGGGAAGGACTGGGGGTCTGCACCTCCTCTTCTGCACGTACTGGGGGGGTTTGCTTTGATTTCCCCTCCCAGGCCCCCCGAGGCTGTGCCCCACACCGGGATGCCCACCCTCACCTACCCGGGTGGGTGCAGGCGCAGGCGCAGTCCTGCTCACTGCTGAAGCGGTTGGCGTTGCCCCCGCAGCCCCCGTACCAGAAGGGCTCGCAGGACCCCGTCTCCCACCGGTGGTACCACATCACGGAGAAGCGGGCGCAGGCGACGCCGGGATCCTTGGCCAGGGCGCACGGCCCCGGGGTGGCCACAGCCCTCCGGCCCTTGCCAGGGCTTGGGGGTACCGTGGGCATCCCGGTGTGGGGCACAGCCTCGGGGGGCCTGGGAGGGGAAATCAAAGCAAACCCCCCCAGTACGTGCAGAAGAGGAGGTGCAGACCCCCAGTCCTTCCCGCAGGGGACTGAGGGATGCGCAGGCAGGGGATGGTCCCGGTGCCGCTCACTCACTGCGGGGTCCCCAGGGGGGTTTTGTTGGTGGTGGTGCCCCGGGGGGGCAGGTCCTGGGGGCACCCCAGTGTGCTGGGGCGCTGGCTGCTCTCCACTGTGGGGCAGAAGCGATAGCGGAGACACGGGCGAGGAGTTTTGGGGAGTGACAGCCGCCTGCTCCTGGAGTAGCCAGGGATGGGACCCAGGGATGCTGCAGCCCCCCCCCCCGCCAAAAATCCTCCCCACCCGCTCACCCTGCAGCCTCCTGAGGAAACCCAGCGCCGTCCTCTCCGCGTACCCCACTTCAGGTGGGTGGACTGAGCCTAGGCGCAGGGAGTGGTACCGCCAGGCCGGCAGCGCCTCGGGCACGGCCGCCTCCGGCTGCTCCGTCCCGGCTCGCCCCAGGGAGAGCACCAAGACGCCAAAATCCTCACACCGGCTGAAGGGGCCCAGTGCCCGCCGTGCCTCCCTGTCCCACAGCGCCGTGGCCCCCGTCCCCACCACGAAGAGGACGCGGAGCCGGCGGCCAGAGCTCTGCGGGAAAACGTGCCGGAGGGCCCATGCCACTGTGCCGCTGGGGGATGCTGTGGCCGCCCTGGGCACCAGCGCAAGGCGAAGGCGCTCCCGGAGCTGCTCCCTGGAGCTGAGTGGCCCAAAAGGGACCTCGGCCAAACCCTGCGCTGGGGCAGAGGGGCCTGTCAGCACCAGGGCGATGCGGGTGCCGTGCTGCACCGGATCGGGCCCCGCTAGCCGCAGGTGCTGCAGGAGGCGGTGGAAGAGCTCGCCGACGGCCTCCAGCCTCTCTGCCGGCATCCCCGGGGC